AAAGAGGTGATACTGGGTTCTAGTAAAGAAGCTAATTCAACACAAGGCCACACCATTCACATTCAGTCTACGCCATTTGAATCCTTTCCCCCACATTTTCTCCCACACATGCATGCAGCCTGCCTCCCCACCTGTGAGATGTTTGTGCAAATTGCTGTAAAGGCAATTGATATTTCTAAAGCGGTGTTTTTCAAACTTGGCAATTTAAAGAAGTGGGGCCCAACACCCAAAATTCCCTAGCCGGCATGGCTGGCCGGGGAATTCTGGGAGTTGGTCCACACTTCTTAAAGTTGCCAAGTTTGAAAATCACTGCTTTAGAATTATCAATTGCCTTTACAGCAATTTGCACAAACATCTCACAGGTGGGGAGGCAGGCTGCATGCATGTGTGGGAGAAAATGTGGGGGAAAGGATTCAAATGGCGTAGACTGAATGTGAATGGTGTGGCCTTGTGTTGAATTAGCTTCTTTACTAGAACCCAGTATCACCTCTTTTAGTAGACCCAGCTCTCTGGCTCTGCAGGAGAACTAAAATTCTTTTGGGCTGCTTAAGATTTGGAGTCACACTTGCCAGCCATCAATTTAAAAGTTTTGATTTTCTATCAGCGCTGAAGATTTGAACAGTAGCCACAAGGAACCACGAAGAAGCAAATTGTGATTCCCCCCCCCCAACCTCAGACTTAACCACCAGATTGACCATTGGAAGAAGGGTTGGGAGCTCCATTCCCAGCACCTCCAAACTGGTGAAGACCAACCTGCTCCATCTTTCTGGCAACCCTCCTCCAAGCTGTGTTGTGTTCCACACAATGAAGGCAGAGCAGTGATTCCTACTGAACGTCAAGAAATCAGTGGGGATCACAGACATCCTGCTTGTGGCTCCAAGATGGGAGGGGAGCAGCTTTGTAGGGCGTTAAGCTGTGTCTGCGCTGTATGTCTGACATCTAATTTGAAGACGTGGAAAGCTGGCTTTATCACAACGCTCTGAATACACAATCGCTTCTCTGCCTCCTCCTTCTGCCCTTCCTTCCTGAACATGAACTATGGGCAGTGAGAACTAAACCAATCAAGCCTTTTCCAACTGGATATTCTGCAGGATTGGTAAAATAAGAACATGATATATTTGTAGCTTTGTATAACTGGAAAAGGCAGTGATGCTCAGAATGGTCAGCAGCAAAAGGAAACGAGGCCGCCAAAAAACACAGCAGCTAGACACCATCAAAGCTGACACTGGCCCAAGCATAAAACAACTAAAAGAACCCGTACAAGATCGGAAAATGTGGAGAAAGCTGGTCCACAGAACCACCAAGAATCGGACATGATTGAATGGATAGCGTATTAGTGTAGCTGGTGTATTAGTGTAAGTGGTGGAAAATGTTCTAAATTGCCAATTCTCTGTTTGGTGAGAAGGTGATAAACTGACAGAGAAGACTCTTCCACTTAACAGCGAATGAACAGGAATAGGTTCCTGCACCAGATGGGGGTGGGTTGGAGTAAATGATTTCGAAGGTTCCCGACATTCTGTGATCCCATATCAGGAAAAATTTCCTAACGGTAAAAGCTGTTCAACCATGGAATAAGCTGTCTTTGGAAATGGTGGACTTTTACCATTGCTGGAAACTTTTAAACAGAGGATGGACAGCCATCTCTCAGGGATGCTGTAGTGGTCGGTCCCCGCCCTGGGCAGAGGGTTGGACTAGATCAGTGTTCCTCAAACTTGGGGACTTGAAGATGGGCAGAAGACTTTAAGATGGAGTTGAAGTCCACCCATCTTCAAGTCCCCAAGTTTGAGAAGCGCTGGGCGAGAACATCTCCAAGATCTCTTCCAACCTTACGTTCCATGAGAATATGTAAATTAGTAAATATGTAATTAGTAAATATGTAAATTAGACTTGCTGAACTCTCAAGTTCCCTTTTTCCTCCAATATATCCTAAGAACTTTGGGCAATGAGATCGGAAGGAGCATCATACCAAGGAGCACCATACTTGGTATGGCTGGCTGGGGAATTCTGGGAGTTGAAGTCCACCCTTCTTCAAGTGGCCAAGGTTGAGAAACACTGCCTTAGGAGATCTTCCAGGGCAGGAGAGGCAATTGTGTGATTACACAACCCCATGTCTCCTCCCACATACTCACTAGGGAAGAAGAACACACTAGCCAACTGCACACCATCTACTGAAAGCTGCGTTTATTGTGAGAAATAAGTGCTAATGATCTGATCTCGGACTTCCACCCCTTGAGGGTCTTGTTCTACCATGCTATCGGTCTCCAAGTACGGAGGCACCGGGACCTCTGTGTCTACCCCTTGTCCTCCATTGATGATAGGCAGCTGGCGTCTCAAGGCCATGTTATGAAGCATGGCGCACACCACAAAGACCTTGGCCACCTTCTCTGGGCGGAGCATCAAGCGTCCCCCCGTGGAGTGAAGGCAGCGGAACCTCATCTTGAGCTGGCCAAAGGCCGTCTCCACCACCATCCGTGTCGTCTTGTGGGTAGCGTTGTAGCGCGCCACCGCCTCAGGGGCGTCATCGGGGTGCGGGGTCATGAGGAAGGGGCGCAAGGGATACCCAGAGTCGCCTGCGGGAGAGAGGAGGCAAGTGTCAGCATGGAGGGGGACTCCACGGGGGGCCCCCTTCCCACGGCCCAACCTCCCCCACTTCAAAATGGACAGCCCGCCCCCCCAGATGTGCTTACCCAAAAGCCACCCCTTTCCTTCAGGCCACGACTCCAGTAGCCTCTGCAGCTGGGAGAGCTGGAAGATCCGCGCGTCGTGGACACTCCCGGGGAACTTGGCCAAGACGTGGGTAAAGCAACCCGACGCGTCGCAGGTGGCCTGCACGTTGAGGCTGTGAAAGTTGTGGCAATTTCGGTACAGCGCCGGCATGTCTGCCGGGGCTATGATAGGCACGTGGGTGCAGTCCACAATCCCAAGGACGTTGGGGAACCCCGCGATGTCGAAGAAAGCCTCCCTGGTCCGGCGGAGTTCCGAGTCAGTGGTAGGAAAGGTGATGTGCTCGTGCACGTGCCGCAGCATGGCTTCCAGGAACGCATCCAAGCAGCGGCTGACGGAGGACTGGGACACCCGCAGGTTGTCTCCCGTCATCCGCTGGAAGGAGCCCGTGCCGAGGACCTGCAGGGCGATCAGGACTTTTTGTAATGTCGGGATGTGCCGGCGACTCGCGGAGGCCCCGTCCAGATACGGGGCCAGGAGAGTGCACAGGTCCTGGATGGCCTGGCGGTCCAGTCGGAAGCGGGTCAGACACTCCTCGTCGGACACCTGGAGCTCGTGGGTGCGCATCCGGATGAGGCGGGTCCGTCGGGGGGGCCGCCGGCTGTGGATCTCGAGGTTGGCGGCGTAGACGAGGTCCAGCAGGCCCTCATCGTCAGAGCTGCCCTCCTCCGGATAGAGGGGGAGCGGGGCCCCTCTCCGGGGCTCCACCGGCCTGAGAGCTCCTGCAGGGACAAGGGGAGGGAGAAGGGAAAGGTCCTGATTGCACCGGAAGTCGTTGGTTTATTTTATTTCTTGGATTTATAAGCTGCTGAGTTTTATACACTCTGGGGGTTTATATATAGACGTGTGTGTAGAAATGCTCAATCCCCCTAACTGGAGTGGATGCACCCAGGTCACTGAAAGCAACGTATGTTATCCACGGTCTAAAGTTGCTTTAACGTTTTTCTACCGACTTTTATTATTCCCAGAGATATAATCTCCCCTTCCCTAAGCTGGTGGTCGGCAACATGGCATCCTTAGAACTCCATCCACCCCCACCCCAAATACATCTTTTTTAAAAAATGGCTGAAATTGCACAAAATTAGAGCCATTTTAAAATCTGGTTTGCATTTCATTGTCTCTGGTACCTGAAAAGGTCACATGCGCCCTGCTCTAACCAGTTTGGCTTGTGGGTTCTTAAACTGTTTGTCCCAATTTTACCCCTTTTTCCATCTCAAATAATGTCATTACCCCCACAAAACACACACACACACGCTGTTGTTTTACGCAAGCGGATCAGCAGCGGCAGTCCCAAACTGGATCCTCCAGTCACAAACAAGTAATTACAAATTGCTCCATTACCCCTAGAATATGCCCAAATTACCCCCAGTTTAAGAGCCACTGTATCAGAAGTACTCTTGAAGAAGCCACCATTACACCAGGGTTGGTTACTCCAGAGCAAAGATGATTGGGTGCCCATCCTCTACGTGCGGTAGTCATCTAATCACTTTCAACCACAGGCAAGGACACCATTGTCCGGAAGGATCTGGATCTGGGGCCACGATCCCTCTGCCCTTTACACCAGCGTTCCTCCACCTTGGCAGCTTGAAGAAGTGTGGACTTCAATTCCCAGAACCGAAAGCTGAACTGAATTGAATTGAAACTAAATTGAATTGGAATACGTGGCTAGCTGGGGAATCCTGGGAGTTGAAGTCCACACATCTTCAAGCTGCCAAGGTTGAGAAATGCTGCTCGACACTATCCAGCGACTTAGGGTGAGAAGAATCTTAGTTATGTCAAGCACTACAGTCTAATCCAGGGGTCGGCAACCTACAGCCCATGGGTCAGATGTGGCCTACCACCCTAAATCATCTAGCCTGAGGTCCGAAAAAGAAACATATTCACCCAGCCCTCAAGAGAGGACTTGCTGCCTGCTTGGGCAGACATTTTGGAACCGGCTTCACCAGCCGCCTCAGTACAGGCAGAGCGACAAGTCCACAGAAATGGCAGCACAGCCTCCGGTCCCCACGCAGAAGAAAGTTGCCAACCCCTGATCTAATCCATAAAAGGTGTGCTGCCCGTTGGCAAGACTCTCCTGACCATATTTCTTTCTTTATTCTGTCTCCCCCCACCCTTTATCAAGCAGACTGCCAGGGGAATCAAGATGGTGGTTTTGACCACGAAAGGGAAATCTTGTCCCCTTTTAATGTGTAACAAACGTAAAACAGGGGCAGGGCCTTGACTGCACGGTCACAGTCGCCATTTTGACTTTTCTGCCCCATCCCCCATGGATGCACCTGGGCGTTTCCAAGGTTCAGACCACCTTCCTCAAGGTTCCGAAACCATCAAGTGACTCATTTCGGCGGAGGGTCACATTTTATCAGCTCAAGGAACACATTCAGCATACACACTCACGCCCCAGGGGCCACAGGTAAGCCCCCTCTGGTCTGTTCAAGCCAGACTATTCTGGTTCCCATGATCTCCAGGTCTTGGGCCAAAAAAGGGATCTCCCAGAACACCTTCCCCCGGAGAGGCCATCATGGGGTGCTGGAAAGGTGATGTGAAAAACCATAATTATCTTTCCTGCCAAGATGCCAAGGTTACGATGTCTTCCTGAAGGGACAAGGGTGGAAGGTTTGACCTTGTCCCATGTCCCCTGCTCTTCTGAAGGTTTTAGAATTTAGTTTTTAAGGGCATCAGCCCTGCCAGAGAATATTCAAAGCTTGCAATTCAGCAGTTTGCCCTCAATTTACAGCAAGGGAGCTGGGAGTGGCTTGGGAGTTGACATGTGGCTCACAGCTGCCCAGCCTAGATTCAGCCTAACAAAGCACATCTCTGCTCTAAAAAATTATTTAATGGAATGAGTCTTATTACATCCAGACAAAGCACATCAGCCGCCCTCCTCCAGCTTCTTGGGGGCGCAACTTGGCACTAATTGAGGATTTCAGATTCTTAAGCAGCTTTCATATTGTTCCTCCCTCTGCGTTATACTATTTTTTTAAATGAAAAAGTCTGCGCTCAGTAAGACTGCAAAGGCCTTAGCACCTGGCTATAGCCATAAAGCAAGATTCTCACAGAATAACCAGATGTATTGAATTAAGTTATGGAAATCTTGGCAACTGGACACAGTTACTTTAGCACTCAACTTATCTCTAAGTTCATCCAAAGGGAGATTTCTTCATCTTCTTATTAACCAGCCTCTGATGCGGCGGGGAGGCGGCTACCCGCTTTCCTGATAAAGGAAAAACGTGCTCTACGCTTGTAATATTTTGTAAAACTCTATTCTTTTTCCCAGGTTCTAAGAAATCCATAACAAACTTACATGGACAGCATTTAAAATGGAGCCAAAGAAATAAGCAGATGATTTCACGTACACAATAAAACCTTTGGATTAATTCCATTAGGGACAGAGGGCAAAAAATAATTTCACACGGGTTATCACCATTCTGCCCATTTGTTATCCGCCCATTATTTCTAGAGGACAATAAATTGGAAGAGGCTGCAAAATATGAGGAAAGTTTGAAAAAATATTGACTCCAGGAAAAAATGATGTGGTATAGTGGCTGAGAGATCACACCGAGACTGGGGAGAGCTGGGTTCGGGGGGGCCCTCAGCTATTGGGTGATTTTGGATCAGTCATTCTCTCCCAACTCAACCTACCTTCCAGGATTGTGGTTTGAGGAAAAGATGGGAGGACAGAGTGCTTTTAATGCCAGGATGTAAAACTAACCAAAAATTAAGAGTCCTTATGATAGATTCTCACTGTCCATTTGCGCATACAGAGCTGACTGTATGCATGAAGGGACAATTTGGGAACCTATCACAAGGGCTCTTTTCATTTATTAAAGGAACACACAGGATTTCTGCCCCCCCCAAAGGGCCACAAAGGAGCTACAGCTGAGATCTGCCCCAAGAACCACAAAAGACCCAACAGATCAGCCCGGGCACCACAGCCGAGGGAACTCGGCTCTTACCAGCTAAATTGCCGCGTTCCTCTTCGTCGGCCTCCCGCTTAGCTTCTCTGAAGAGGGGCTCCGGCACAGCGACTGACGGAGGCTGCTCTGCCTCAGCCTCCGGAGAATCCTCATTGTCCATCTCAAACAGGCCGAGCACCTGACAACAGCAAAGATTCTGTTTCAGAGCAAGATCTGGACATTTAAGGACCGAGGCAATAAAGCAAAGGGTGAGCATTACCCCAGAAGAGCGATAGGCTCGGAGGCCTCCAAAGATGGACAGCAAGGGACAGAAAGGGGAAATCAGCAACACGAATGGAGAGGAATTACAGGTAACCCTTGGTTAATGACGGCTCTGTTTAGCAACAGTTCGAAGTTACAACAGCACTGAAAAAGTAACTTTACAACTGGTCCTCAAACTTACGACCGTCACAGCATTCCCACAGTCACGTGATCACCATTTGCGAGCTTCACAGCCAGTTTCCAACAAGCAAAGTCAATGAAGAATCTGGCAGTCAAGTTGCAGTCATGTGATGTCTCACTTAACGTGATTTGTTTAATGACTGCAGCAGAACTGACATTGTAAGTCCAGTGCAGTCATATGAAGTTTCACTTAACAACTGCATCACTTAGCAATAGAGTTTCCAGTCCCCAATTATGGTTGTTAAGTGAGGACTATCTGTAAGTTAAATATTCAGGCAGTCCTCATTTAGCAACTGTCTCCCACAGCGACTGTTTACAGTTATAACAGTGATGAAAAAGTAACTTTGCGACCAATCCTTGCATTATAGGTCTGTAAAGCAAAGGAAAGCTGAAATAAAATCATAAGCAGAGTCAAGGTTTCATTTAGTGATCACTTTGCTTAATGACCGAGTTGCCAGTCCCAACTGCGGTCATTAAATGAGGACGACCTGCATTTAATAGTAACTCAGTTGAAACATAAGCCAAATGAAATCAAACTGAATTTTCCTTTGGTCTTTGAATCCCAACAATTAAGCAGTATCATCTAGCAGGATCCTGGAAGGGGGCCTTCTCCGTCACAGCATCTGCCCTCTGGAATGAGATTCCCCCGCACAAGTTACTCCCACTTCTGGGTATTCTCCCGGGCTTTGGGGCAGGGTGCCTGTTGGATGGGGGGACGTTGTCCTTTAGATTGTCTCACTCATACTTTCGTTTTGGGTTTCTTTTGCGTTTATCTTACTTTTTTTTTCATTGGAAGAAACCCAGAGTCGTTGGGAGCTGGGCAGCTGGATGGACAGACCTCCCCTGGAAAGAGCTGTGCATCTCTGCTTTATGTTCTCTTGGCCAGTGTTTCTCAACCTTGGCAACTTTCAGATGGGTGGACTTCAACTCCCAGAATTCCCCAGCCAGCATGGAACTGAAGTCCACCCATCTTCAAATTGCCAAGGTTGAGAAACACTGATTTAGATGGACCAATGGGCTAATTCTATCTTGAACCCACATTTTAAACCATTTATTTTGAAATCCTGGGGCTTTACAACAAAGTTTGGTGCTTCTGGTGGTTTCTTCCTGACCATCATCAACAAAATGATGAGATATGTTGGATTAAGTTATGGTCTGCAGTGATGAGCAGATGTGGAATGGACCTGTGAAGCTCTACATTTAGCACCTAGAAATTGACCTCTTTCAACTGAAAACATTTAAAAATATCCACACTTCAAGTTCTCAAAAATCAGAAATTTCTAAAGGGAAAGGATAATGTTTTAAAAAGCTTTGGCGAGTTAGGAGTTCTAGAGGTCAACAATTGGTTAAGCTTTTTTCCCCTCCCTTTGATTTAGCAAAAGCACAATAAAATTACACAGATGTGAGGCTGTGAAATTGGCACATCATTTAAATCAGTACTTATTACATATGCCAACACCAATTTTCGGTGCACCACCCAGAACTCAATTTACGTACTGACTACACGCAACCATCAAATTGCTGCATTTAATTTCAGGAAGGAGCTAGACTAAGGAAAAAAAAGAGTTGGGAAAACATAAGGAATATATCACTGTTTTGCAATACGTTTTGTCCTGAATTTTCCAGGAGACTGTGATAATGAAGAAATCTTATTAAGAGTCTTCAAGTTGGCATTATCTTGAAAATATTTATGGCACCTTCTAATGGGTACCTATACCTTTACCTTGGAGTAAGTCAATCAACCTATTTAAGAGTAGATGTAGTTGAGGGCCGTCTCCCACCTGGAGCCCTCAAAGAGCCTTGAAAATGAAAATTTATAGAACTCCCAGCTGGCAGGAGAAATTATGGAACTTCTCATCCCCACACATCTGGAGGGCTCTAGGTTGGGGAAGAACGATCACAGGTCCCTAACTTTTCTTTTGCCCAAAGGGCACTTTTGGAAACTTGTGAGTGCTCTCACAAACTGGTTGCTGGGGAAAAGTTACCAGTATACAGGGCATTCGGAAAGTATTCAGACCCCCTTCATTTTTTCCAGTGTTGTTATGTTGCAGCCTGATACTGCAATGTCCAAATTCATTTTTTTTCTCATTAATCTACTACACTCAGTACCCCATAATGACAAAGTGAAAACAGAATTTTAGAAATGTCTGTAAATTTATTAAAAAGAAAAAACTGAACTATCACATTGGCATAAGTATTCAGACCCTTTGCAACGACACTTGAAATTTAGCTCAGGGGCTCATTAATCTACTACACTCAGTACCCCATAATGACAAAGTGAAAACAGAATTTTAGAAATGTCTGTAAATTTATTAAAAAGAAAAAACTGAACTATCACATTGGCATAAGTATTCAGACCCTTTGCAACGACACTTGAAATTTAGCTCAGGGGCCTCCCACTTTTCTTGATTGTTGCTGAGCTGTTTCTACATCTTGACTGGAGTCCATGTGTGGTAAGTTAGATTGATTGGACGTGATTTGGAAAGGCACACACCTCTCTATAGAAGGCCTCACAGCTGACAATGCATCCTGTATCACAGCATGAGGTGAAAGAGACTGCCTGCAGAGCTCAGAGACAGGATTATTGCAAGGCACA